ATGGAAAGGTCGACAAAATTAAAGGGGTAGGGCCATTTAACCTAGTGCTAATGGAAAGGTCAACAAAATCAGAGGGTTAGTAACAGTAAATTTGGTCCGGTAGTAAAATTTGTCCGCCAGACTTTTTTTCCTAGTTAATCAAGTCATTGACCATTATTTTACTAGGAATGTAAGTCCCAGGACAAATTTTCCTAGGAAAATAAGTCCATAGCTAGTAAAATATGTCTGGCACTTATTTTCCTAGTAAAAATTGTCCAAAGACTTGTTTCTCTTGTAATTTTTATTATATTTTAAAAATTATTGCAAATAAAAAAAACAACATATTTTCTTAGTTAAGATTGGAAAGTTCCATTAATTTTTCCTATTAAAATAAAGGACATGGACGGACGTTATAACCTAGGCATGTTAGTGACATGGACATGATGTCCTAGGAAAATTAGTCCGGGGACATGAATTTTATTAAAATATTAATGCACAACTCTTAAACAATATTAAAACATAAAAATTGAATTTCCATTGTTTACATGTAAATAATTTGTTTCATTAAATTTTTCCTTTTAAAATAAATGGCATGGACGTTTTTACTAGGAATATTAATGGCAGGGCCATGATTTCCTAGGAAAATTAGTTTGGGGACAAACATTATATTAAAAAAAATTGATACACAACTCTTAAACAATATTAAAACATAACATTTATATTTACCTTTTAAAATAAAGGGCATGGACGTTTTTATCTAGGAATATTAATGACATGGACATGATTTCCTAGGAAAATTAGTCTGGGGACATGAATTTTATTAAAAATATAAATACACAACTCTTAAACAATATTAAAACTTAATATTTAAATTTCCAATATTGTATAATGTTAATGATTTGAATCATCAATATTTTCCTATTAAAAAAAGAACATGGACGTTTTTACCTAGGAATATTAATGACATGGACTTGAATTCCTAGGAAAATTAGTCTGGGGACATAAATAACTAACATCGGACTAAAAATACTAGTAAATTCTGTAACCATGGACTTTTTATACTAGTAATATGTGTCCGCCCGGACATATTTTACCAGGACAAATTTATCCCTTACACTTGTATTAGTGCCAATTTACCCAGAGATAGTGAAAAGGTCGACAAAATCAGAGGGTTCGGGCCAATTTACCATGATCTAATGGAAAGGTCGACAAAATTAAAGGGGTAGAGCCAGTTAACCTAGTGCTAATGAAAAGGTCGATAAAATTAAAGGGGTAGGGCCAATTTACCTAGAGCTAATGGAAAGGTCGACAAAATCAGAGGGTTAGTGGGCCAATTTACCTAGAGCTAATGGAGAGGTCGACAAAATTAAAGGGATAAAAAAGGGGCCAGTTAAAGTACACACATTGGGCTATGATACTATCAATTTGGGTTATCGATTGAAAGGCATTTTTGAAAACGGCCTTAGGGAGGAATAAATTCAGGGGAAATGGCCCTACCTCTTGGAAGGACGTAGATTTTTAACAAAAATAAAATTATGTGTTCCCAAAGAAATACATAGCTTTCAACATAATTTTGATTACCCGAATGTTCTTCTTGTACATTTTTGTACCTTCAAGAGATAAATACTCTGAATTTGCCAAAAGCTGTCAAAACCGTGGTATGGAGCGTTTATAATTTGCTGATGTGTTTAGAAATAAATCAGAATATTGTTAGAACCTTCAAGTACACACATTGGGCTGTGATACTATGAATTTAAGTACCGATTGAAGGCTTTTTAAAACAAATGGTGTGAAACAAATTTACTTAAATAATGAAAAACCAGTATTTGTATAAAAACAATACAAGTTCTGACAGGCACGATCTACTGATAATACTCTTGTTTTGACAGGCATTATCTACGGACAATTCTCCTTTGTTGACAGGTACTCTCTTTTTGAAATATTTTATCACCAAATATTTACCACGGATCAATGCCTAATCATCAAGGGCCTGTTTTGATAGTTTTTACCTGGCGAAGATCTGTAGTCTTCATTTATGTATAATTCTTTACTTTTCATGACTCTTTCTGTGGTGTGGGGCTGTAAATCTCTTTTCCATATGTTTTAGGACACCGTCATTCTCTTTTCTTTATTTTTAGCCCATTTTTTAAAAATTGTTTTGGACCATTAATCTCTTTTCTACTAACCCTACCCAGACCCCCAGTTAATATTCCAATAGGTAAAACTGTCTAAATACTGAGTCCCGTGAACGCCCCTTCCCACACTTGGTCTGGTTACAAATAGTTGTATGTATATGTCATATATGATAACGTTATGTAACAAATGACTGTCATTTTGCTTTAGGTTAAATAAATATATAAAGTTGTTTTAACATTCCGTTTTCTATTCCGATTTATTTAGAGTTAAAATGAGAACATTCAACTTTACTGAAGTACAAATAGGTTATGTCACCTTGGTTTAATACGTGTATGGTATGTGAGTGTTCAGTCTAGTCTGACATATATTAAAATACACATTAAATAATGTTAGATACACTGTAAGGGTGTGTAAAGCATAATAACCTGATATAATGTCGGTGTAATGGCGAATGAAAGATGAATAAAATATGGAATACACTTAATTACTACAATGTTACTGTTGTTTACTGTCGAAATGTATATATATATAGTATGTAGATTGACTTATCAAATTGAATAGGGGAGACGTTACAAACGGGGGACACTTATCTTTTTAATGCTGTCAATTTTAAAACTCCAAGCCCTCACCGTCACCGATCTGATTTTTTCAAGTTTTTTTTTAACATTTTCTTCCCCATAGTCTACACAATTTTAATTTGTTATCTTACTCTCTGAAAAAGTCTGTCATTGAGACAAGCTTAGCTTTTTGTGTAAAAAGTATGTCATTGAGACAAACTTAGCTTTTTGTGTAAAAAGGCTGTCATTGAGACAAGCTTACTTACTATCTTTGTGTGTAGCTTTTTGTGTAAAAAGGCTGTCATTGAGACAAGCTTACTTACTATCTTTGTGTGTAAAAAGGCTGTAAAGTTTTTAAAAAGTAGATTGGCTTTTCGCGGCTACAAAAGTATTTTTAATCCGTGCAAGTCAGCCATTGAACATTAAATGTTGGTTTCTTTCTATTTTATTTCTTTTCAAAAATTCAAAGGAGGCACATGCAGTTTTTCTATGCAGGAAATTTATCCTAACAACTGACAAAAAAAAATATTGAAAAAACTTGTTTGGCTTTATATTTTATCTTTATTGTGATATAAGCGTTTTTGAACTTTAAGAATGATAAATGAAAAACATATTAAAATAAATTATCAGACAATTAAAGCATCAATAATAATTATCTTAAAAAAGATTTTTGTTCTTTTCTTCATCTGTTAAAAACAAAGAAAAAAAGCAGACCCGGCGGTCATATGGGAAACCAACAATCGGATCTCCTGTAGTTGGTGATCGCAATACTGGTATACTAGTATTGTGCACAATACTGGTATAAAAATTTTGTACCAGTATTGTATTCCAGTATTGTACCAGTATTGTGGTTTTTTTTTAAATAAACAATACATATATATAGGTAATTAATCTTTTATTAAAGGTGTCACATATACATGTATTATATGCATAATGATATTATCATATGACATGACAATTTCATATGGAAGGATTGTATGTTTAACTGATGATGCCATTGATGGTACACTAGCTGTGATTGTAATCAAAGAAAGTGTTAAATCTTCTGATGTTTTTTTCTTAAGGGAACCGTACTGTCTCAGCATTTTAACAAACTCTTTACTTTCTTCTATGTTTTCTTCCAGCTCTCTATTTCCAAGTCTCAATAGTTTATTTTAGTGAATTTTATATTGACATTAATGCTGTTATAGCTACTGTATCATCAGCATTGGTATTGTTTATTTCTTCTTCAGATGGCATTTCTGCAACCCCCACTTCCTATATTGATATTTATGCATTCAGTCTGTGGACTTTCTCTTACGCTTACTAGATTACAAGCTTGTTTAGATAACACCTGTACGGCTCTCTTACTGTAGGAGTGCTTGTCTAGTATTAGTATTTGAGTATTTGTACCAGTAGATATATCTGCTACAAATTGTATTGCCCATGGTTCTGAATCAACTGCTTTAACTACCCTTAACAATCATGTAGACAAATAAGTTAATTTGATTATAATCAGGTTCCCCTATTAAGCAACTTTTTATGTTTAATGGATATTGATATCTTTTATCATGTTTATTGTGAAAGATTGATAAGAAAATAAAGACAAACAAATGCTTAGAATCTTAGTATACATGTATTAAAATATAAATTTATAATCTCCCTTTGATCTTTAATATCTAATTTTGCTTAAATTTCATTTTTCATTCTACACCTTAAAGTATAGTGAACAATACAACTACAATACTGGTATATCAGTAATGTACCAGTATTGTTGTTTTTAAAAAAAAAAGTCACAATACTGGTACAAAATTTTTATACCAGTATTGTGGACAATACTGGTATACCAGTATTGCGATCACCAACTACAGGAGATCCCAACAATCTGTTTTGCATGCCGTAAATAATGTAAGACAAAAAAACCGTCATCATCATTTGCGTGAAAAAATAAGACAGTATTTGAAGTCAGTGACAGATCCAGAACTTTTTCAACAAGGTTTTTTTGTGGGGAAGGGATATGCTGTGGGATCCATCAAGGAAAAAGGGATTTCGGTTGTCAAAAATAATAAAGCATTGTACTAAAAACATGCATTTTCGTCTGTAATATGTGTACCACCCTCCTAGATCCCCTAGATGTTTCCATGATACTATTTTTATCAAACAAAAGTTAGTCAGTCATTCATGTAATAAACACTAAATGTAAACACTTTATGGTCAACAAGCACGTAAAGTATCAAATTCTCACCGATTTAAAACAATTTCGTTTTGATATATTATATTATAAATTCATCATTCTGCCATTGTTTACTTTTTCATATAAATCTATTGATAAACGAGCAAAGTACTTACTCTCCCATAACTGGCGACTTTTTCTTCACTTTTTTATCCTTTTTATGAATTAATCCTTCTTTTCTAAAGTTTTATCCTTTTCATAGATCCTCCATCTTTTTTTCAAATGTTCATCAACAGGTGAGGTATGACAAATGTGTACAAAATACAGGTAGAAAATGTACGATTTGAACATAAAATCAATGACGGCCGTAGGTGGTATATAGCCTTTCCCTTTGACAACTTTATCATAAGGTGACAATGTGTTATCGTGATGACGGGGTCGTAGATTAGGGAGATTGTCTTCATATTATCTAAGTATATCAGTTTTACTTACGGATTACTTGGTCATTGTTTAGGCCATTGTCTAAAATACTTATCTATATACCCTAAATTAACAAAGATTATGTAATAACAAATTATTAGAACAATAGGTTAAGATTAACATTAGCTTTACATACGGATTACAGGCACATATTGTTTTTGACCATTGTCTAAATAAATACTTTTTATTATTTAGATATCTTAATTTTACGAAGATTATGTAAAAACTATTAAATTACAAATTAATAGAACAATAGGTTGAGATAAAATATTTTTTATATGGAATATTGATATATTTAATGTTTGAGTACATGGACCCCTCTTTTTTAAAAATGGCATTCGACTTGATACTGTATGAATATTATTCCATTTTTTATGAAGAAATCACTAATGATTTTTGTTTGAATTGAATAAATATACAGTAAAAATTGCTGTTTTTTTTCTGTCTAAAATCATGAAAACTTAATAAACATGAATTATTTCCAAAGAATTGTTACACAAATGCATACTTTAGTGGAGAATGTATTCCAAATCTTTTAAGATAATCCACATGCGTTTATCTTTGAAACAAAAAACATAATGTATCTGTCCAAAACATAGAAAAGGCCGATTAACTATAAATTTAAGTGTTTTGATCCCACAAGCATGTGAAGCTATATTTTTTTATAACACATTTGAATTAACTAGGTGAAAATTGCTAGCCTGCAAAATTTCGCAAAATTTCGTAAAAGCAATCACCGTGCGATCGAAACTGTATCGTATGCCTAGACGGGGGCATTAATTAAGTGTTACCCTTGTCCGTACGTACGTCCCAAAATTGGTTTCCGTTCTCTATAACTTTAGTATGCCTCAACCAAATGTTATTTAACGTACACATAATGCTTATTACCACAAAGCACAGATCAAGATTAGAATTTGTGTAGTCACTTTTACCGTTCTCGAGTTATGCCCCTTTTATTAAGACACTATTATTTTCCTACAAGCAAAACTCTTTGATTTTGAAATTGAAAACAAAAGCAACAAATTTGATAAATAATAACTTTCTCGGTAAATAGCATTAGCTGAAATATGCTTACAATGGTTTTATTGATAAATTAGTTTTTAAACATGTAAGTATTATATAATAATATATAAATAAGAAAATGTGGTATGCGTGCCAATGAGACCACTCTCAATCCAAGCAAGGACGTTTATACTTACTAAGTATAGACTTGCCCTGATCCAGGTCACAATGTATAAACAGTAAGCCAAAAATAAAGTGTAAAACAGTTTAATCAGGAAAACCAACGGTCTATAGATGTACGAAAATGTGGCATGAGTGCAAATGAGACAACTCTCCATTCAAGGAAGGACGTCTATTCTTACTAAAAATAAACTGGCCCTGACCCAAGTCACAATGTATAAAAAGTAAACCAGTATAGGTCAAAGTACGGCATTCAACATGGAGCCTTGGCTCACACCGAACAACAAGCCAAAAAGGACCAAAAATGAAGACTGTAAAACAATTTAATCAGGAAAACCAACGGTCTATAGATGTAAGAACATGTGGCATGAGTGCAAATGAGACAACTCTCAATTCAAAGCGAAATCACAATGAGCAAAAACTAAACCATTATAGGTCAGAGTACGGCCTTCAACACAGAGCCTTGGCTCACACCGAAAAGCAAGCTTTAAAGGGCCCAAAAATGAATAGTGTAAAACAATTTAAACAGGAAAACCGTCGGTCTATATATATAAGAGAATGTGGCATGAGTGCAAATGAGACAACTCTCCATTCAAAGCGAAGTCACCATGAGCAAAAACTAAACCATTATAGGTCAAAGTACGGCCTTCAACACATATATAAAAAAAGAAGATGTGGTATGATTGCCAATGAGACAACTCTCCATCCAAGTCACAATTAGTAAAAAGTAAACCATTATAGGTCACAGAACAGCCTTCAACACGGAGCATGTAATTCCCTGCAGATTTTACTCTCTTTGAATGGAATAGGAATAGATTACCTTATCATTTGGTAGAACTTGTCGGAAAGTGTCCTCAATGCTCTTTAACATTATTCATGTATTATTTGTACTTTATTTGGCCTGTTTAAATTTTTTTATTTGAGCGTCACTGGTGAATCGCTCGTAGACGAACAGCTTGTCTGGCGTACACACATTGTAATCCTGGCATCTATATATACAGTCCGCCAAAAGTTAAGCACCACCGAAATATAACTGGCAATATTTTTTTAGCTAATGCGAAAAAAAATTTATGTTTGGTGTTATGAATTGCCTTTAACATACACTAAGAAAATTCATTACGGCCAAAAAGATTGAACTCCGATAAACCAGTCAAGCAACTTTTTATTAAAGGGCATCTGCGCGTTTACAAATACACTGCTTCTCCAGGTGGTCGTGTTAGTGTTCGCATATTGGTCCGTCGACTTCATAGAGGCAACCGAAGAGCAAGTCGTGTTGTCGAGACCTGCCCTTACAGGCAGACACTGTACAGTCAGGTTTCAATGGGATAATGACTATCGATGCTTGAACATGAGAAGCTGGCAAAACACTCATTGGTCAGATGACAGTCGGTTTCTGTTACGACCAGTAGACGCCATTATACGAATTTCGCGGGAAGATTAAACGGCCTATGACCAAAACAACATTTGCCCAATGACTGCATTCGGTGCTGGTGGTGTTACAGTACGGGGTTGCTTCTTATATAGATTTCCTCAACTAAAGTGTTGAAGGCTTGTACAGAGTATGAGACGTCGTGTTATGGAACTTTACCGGAAGAGAGATTGTTACTCATGCTATTGACTCAAATATTGACATTAAATTTGCCGAACATACCAAAGATTATTTGTAGAAAATTTTAATGATATTGGGTGATTAATTGTTGTAAAAAAATAAAATCACAGTGAAACTTAAATCCGTTTTTGATTTGTGTAATTTACACTATTTCTATGAACGCAAAACCTAAATGCATAGAACCTTCATAAGTGATCAAAATTATATTTGTGGTTTGTTTATGGTATATGTTAGCAAATTTGCTACATGAATGAAATTCTTTTTTTTTTCGAGGAATAATTGATTTTTTAGATTTGAAAAAATTTCGATGTATTAAAAAAAGGTGGTGCTTAACTTTTGGCGGACTGTATAAAGTGACTTTATTGGATCGGTTTTACCAATCCCATTAATTTTGCACATGGCAATATAATACAATTAAAATATTTTCGTTGGTAGAGTCTTCAAGATGATTTATGTCAAGATAATGGATTTCAAATATATTTACATTGTATATTAATTTGAAATATCTTCTGTGTTTGTTTCAAAGTTCAAGGTACGAGGATCGCCTCAATGGTTGCAATGGTCTCGTAGAAGCGTGTTTACCTCGGGTGTGGAAGATATGCTTTCAAATGTTTAAGTTAACGTGTTCCGGATGAAAGTAAATCCAGAAAAAACGCTTCGACGTATACGCTTAATATAGTATTTATTTCGTTGGATCAATTAACACCGGTGTAAGTTTACTATTCATCGTTTCCCTCATGGACACCTTTCTTTCATTGTTCCCGTACGCGTATACAACTTTATATTATTATAACAATTGATCATAATTAATATTATTATTCTATCGAACTTTCTTGTTGTAAATAAAATAGTATGTCCACTGATATCGGCATCTCATATCAATGTCAGAAAAAGGACGGATTTCCTTCAAATATTTGCATAAGAAAATGCCTGTACCAAGTCAGGAATATGACAGTTGTTATCCATTCGTTTGATGTGTTTGAGCTTTTGATTTTGCCATTTGATAAGGGACTTTCCGTTTTGAATTTTCCTCGGAGTTCAGTATTTTTGTGATTTTACTTTTTTCGTGTGTTGTATATCAAGTATATTTGTTTGAAGTTGTTAAATACTCGTTCTTAAATTGGTCTCGGGTGGATAGTTGTCGCATTGGTAATCTCCTAATGTTTTCATAGATTGTCTGCTCTTCGGTCGGGTTGTCGTCTCTTCGACATATTCCCCATTTCCATTCTCAATTTTAAGATATAGGGTAAGGGTTATCGAAGGTCCAATGGAAAGTCAACACATACCCCAGTATAAGTGTACATGTCATTTCATCACAAGGAAATATAATCAATAACTAAATTCATACTTTTGTCATTTGACCAAAAACATTTGTATTATATTGACGTAACCACGTGACCAATTTTAACCACGAAAACAATCAGAAAAGCATAGTACCTCCCTCTGAATCCGCCACATGGTTTGGAACTCATATAATAGTAGTCATGTTAACATACTTTAATTATAATGACAATCATCTATAATTGACCGTTCATCGATTCTTAAATTATTTTCAAACTGATGCTCAACAGACTGTCGGACATATGCCTCAGTGAAACCACTGAATGCAATAAAAGGATATGTTAGTTAAAAAAATGTAATATACGGGGGTTCGTTTCAATTCTATGAATATATATTTTTAGTGTATAAAAAAAACACAATATTTTATTATGAATTATTATAAGACAAGATAAGATAAGATACATTTTTATTTCCAATAGAGGACCCATTATAGGCATAGGTTTTTCCGTTTGAATGGTTTTACACTAGTAATTTTTTGGGGCCCTTTATAGCTTGCTGTTCGGTGTGAGCCAATGCTCCGTGTTGAAGGCCGTACCTTGACCTATGATGGTTTACTTTTATAAATTGTAACTTGGATGGAGAGTTGTCTCATTGGCACTCATACCACATCTTCCTATATCTATATAATCAGTACATTGATTTTTTATCACACAATTGCAATAGACAATACACAAGAAAATAAAAAATAGAAATACAACTCACAAAAAACATGAAATATAAATTGAGTCAATAATATATATAGCCATAAAAACCATAATGTTTAGTGTTTATTGACCATGCACCAGAAGCAGCATCACATCCATTATAGAAAAAGCTTTTGAGTTAAGTCCTTCCTCGTGGCTGATGCATATGAACAAATAGTATTGTTGTTCATATGCAGGAGTCACCAAGGGCAGGTGCTTAAAGGACACTCAAGCCAATACACAGAAATATGAAAACTTAAACAATTTACAACACAAGCATAAACTAATACTTAAAAAGAATTACTATATTATAGTCTGAATTACAATATATTCACATTCACACATATGATTCAGAAACAAGCAACAAGTGCGTATGTTAATCTGTCTCCTTGTAATACATTTTTTTTTTACGAAACGAATTTAACTTTTCGAATTTAAAGGTGTCCCTATAACCTTATCAATGATTCTTTGTTGGAAAGTATGTATATAAAATTTGAAAACATTTAGATGACCAAATCCTAAAATTTTAATATTATTTTAATAAATATATGAGGGGCCTGATGGGTTATTTTCGTTCTTCGTGATCGGCGCATTTTCGCTATCGTGATCCGTTTTTCTACAGATTTTTTTTTTTTATATTTTCGTGATCCGTGATCATGGAAATTTATTTTCTGTGAATCGTGATTGACAAAAAAATCAACTCGTGAATCGTGATGAGATCCCCCCATCAGGCCCCTCATATATATTCATGATTCAAATATTAGTGTCAATTGAACTGATGAAAATATGTTTTTAATCTGATTAAAATACAGATCATGTGTCAAAGCTTTGGTTACAACGATCTGAAAACACTACTTTTTACTTTCTGTTCTGGATATTATTATATCAGCCAATGAAATGTTAGCTCTCAAATTTTTGAAGGTGTGTATTTATCCGACAAAACAAGAGGATCCCGAAAGGACTTTACAACAAAACGTAGAACGAAGCGTGTTTTACAGAGGATCTGTATTTAATCAGATTGGTGTGTTTTACATCCGAATTTTCTTAATGTTGATAACAAAACAATGCACAACTGCATTTGTTTGCATATGTATATCAATGGGGGAAGATTTACAGGTTTCCTACTCGACATTCCGTCAAACTATTTGCAACTAGAAGACCACTAAGTGTTTACTCTTTCCGGACCGCCAGTTGTCCCTCTCAGTTTTGACGAGATAATTGTTCCAAACGATTCATATTTGATTTTTGGTCCGTTTTTTTTATACTTTCATCTCCTTTCTTTCGTTGTCTTCATTCATGATGCAATTGGTATCTTATTTTCTCAAATGTTAAAAACTCGCCAATTTCAATGATGCGTCTTATCGCCAAAAAAGTTAAGAGTTGAAATGTACGTAATGATACCGTTGGAGACTGACTTTAGAAGACTCATTCCGTCTTCATCTATTCTTTTTGCTATTGTTAGTTTTGTAAAACATTGTCATGAATTTTAGAGAATCCAGTATATATTTCCAATTCTCTCTTGCTTATAATTAAACAGCCCACAACAATCATTTTAATTAGACTAATTCAATTATAAGAAATGCAATTTTTCAGCAAACGTACATTTCCCTTTTTTTAGCAATAATATAACAAGTTTACAGGTTAACTCCAACAACAGTTATGTCCACATTAAAAACATGTATTGAAGATTTTCAAACATTTTCCCTCATCACACGTCACTGCGAGTTGTTTTGACTTTCTATCAAAACTCATATGCGTTGGGTTAGTGAACTTGTCCTTAAGAAAAACAGAACGTTGTTTGGTTGTAATATCTACTTTGTAGACAGAATTTCTATCCCTTTCTAACAGAAATATCGTAGAATCCCCAGCTGCAATCTTACAGCTTTCCCTCAAGTCCAGACTAGTGTAAGATGTATTAGTCACACCAGAGAAGGTTGTATAGGTCACATGGTTTGCATTGCTGAAAGTGCAGTACACAATTTTATCATTGATATCTAAATCACAAACACCATATGGTAAATCCAGTTTCCTCAAATTTTTCCCGTTATAATCTATCCAAGAAATGAAGTGACGCTCAGATTTTCCACAAAGAATCATAATCTGGCTTTCGATACAAGTAACCCATTTGCAGCATGATAATTCGTATCCTAGATTAATTGTACGGGCATATTTTTTCAATTCTAGGTCTATGACGTATACACACATATGTCCAACAATAAGTGCGTTGTTTCGATCAAACATGCATATTGTATCAAAACAAGTACCATGGTGATATCCTTTGAGAACTATAAAAGAGAGAGCCTGGCCATCTTTCAGCTCAATAATTCGCAGATTGAGATTTTTGCTCATGTCAATTAATTGCTCTTCAATAACTATTATCTTATTCTCGTTAATGAAGCAACAGGCATTGAATGTAGAAGACACATCCGCGTAAAACGTTCGACTTTTATTAAGTGGTTGTTTTTCATCTGAATGGATACGTAATTGTGACTGCCGGGCCTTATTCCCACTTTGCTCACCTTTTATTGACGTCGTCTGAATATCATGAGTAAATTCATTAAACATTGCGTCAACTTTTTCAATGACATTTTCTGGAATTTGCTGTATTGACAAAGAACTGATTTCATTTTCCAAACACTGAAGATTTTCCTCATCTGACAATTGACTGGTATCGAGATGTTTCACGAGATGGAATAAGTTTACTTCGCTCTCTTCTGTGTCTGCCTTTTCAATATCTTGCAGGTTGGCTTGGGTTGTTTGTGCTAGAGACTTCAAATGTTCTGTGTTGCTTGATATTTTTTCAACGCCTTGGTTGTAATGAGTATCTATATTTTTCTCCAGTCGATTCAAACGGTCTTCAATGGTTGAACGTAATTGTATCAGTCGTTCATGTTGCTGCTCCTTGTCCTGGCCTATCTTGCTAGACAGCTCATTATATTCCTCTTTCACTTTTTATATGACACCTTTCTGGTTGTGTATTCGTTCTTTGAGATCATGTATTGCTGAGCTATCCTTGATTCCTTTGGCAGCTTTCTCTATATGGTTAATATCACACTCCTTATGTGATTCAGATAAACAAGCAGGACACACAATTGTATCGTGATTTACACAAACAAAGATTAATTTCTGTCCTGTGTGGTCTTTGCAAGTCTTAGTCAAGGCTTTGCTTACGTTAGGAATATGTTTAATATCTACAACATCGTGAGGTATGACAAATCTTCTATGAACTTTACTGCAAGGTCGACACACAGGTTCATCACAGTCATTACACCACGAGACAGCAATCTCTTCTTCATTATCTCTGAGACAACCGGCACAGACCTCGTTCGCTGCCATGACTGCAAATACAATACATAAAATTAGATTAATTTTCTGTACATGATCCGTTCGTTTGTATAAATAAAAAGTAAAATCACAAAAATATTGAACTCCGACGAAAATTCAAAACAGAAAGTCCCTAATCAAATGGCAAAAGCAAATGATAAAACACATCAAACGAATGGACAACTACTGTCATATTCCTGACTTGGTACAGGCATTTGCAAATGAAGAAAATGGTGGATTGAACCTGGTTTTATAGCGCTAAACCTCTCACTTGTATGACAGTCGCATCAAATTCCATTTTATTTACAACGATGCGTGAACAAAAACAGACATAATAGGTAACATTGTCAAAATATGGGTACAGCAGACATCACTGTGTCACAATCTCAAAACAAACAAACATTTAACAAAGAAGAATAAATGCCCGTCTTTCTATTTAAATATAGAAAAACAAAAACATAACATTTCAAAAAAGTATTTACAAAAAATCGATAACAGCAAGCAAGAAAAGATAAGAAAAAATCGAGCTTTGACAGCACAAATCATTCAAAAAATATTGTCAGAGTTGTTGACCTGATAAAGAAAAACAATGTTGTATTTTTGATTAGAGATATGTTGGATTATAGTCGAGTGACATTAACCACACAACTTCATTTTTAGTGCACTGCAACCACCTAACATACGGTTAAATCATATTCCATTCGAAAGCATATCATCTTTACTATCTTTTTTGCCCGGTCGTCAAATATTCGTACAGTGCAATTTTTGTCAAATCGCAATGAAAGGTCAAGGACGGACAATTTCTAATTTTACAAGACATTTTTGCATATTTTGTCTTTGAAATAATAAAATACTGTATGGAAATGTGAACAACTTTAAGAACAGAGACTATTTGTCAATTATCAAGTATTTCATTTGGTGCTAAGGAAGTTTTTGGCATCATCATATCACTGCAATCACATTTCTTGCTAATTACACAACAAATCATAACAAAAGAGGGGCGAAAGATATCAGAGGGACATTCAAACTCATAAATCGAAAATAAACTGACAACGTCACTGCTAAAAAAGAAAAAGTCAAACAGACAAACAAAACACAACATAGAAAACTAAAGACTAAGCAACACGAACCCCACCAAAAACTGGAGGTGATCTCAGGTGTTCCGGAAGGGTAAACAGATCCTGCTCCACATGTGGCACCCGTCGTGTTGTTCATGTTAGTATAAACCCGGTAACAAGTCTAATTCGGAAGATCACATTCGTGAAATGGAGACGGGATTATAGTTACGACATTAGGAACATATCCGCTATCATCTGTGAAACGGATATTCAATAATGGTCAATCAACTCGTGATGGCGTCCTTAAAATTCACCATTTGAAACTCTTGGTTTAATAGCTTCCTTGTGAGCAGCAACCCTCTATCAAGGAAATCATGATAGGAAATGCAAGTCGTGGATTATCGTATGAATTGGGAGATATATACTCCGTATGCAGGCGCCACTGGAATGTTGCTACATAGAAATGGAAAGTTCACAATTGGGATGCTAAAATCATCTCTTTTGTCGTAAAGTTTTGTTTTCAACCGACCCTCATTGTCTTGATTATTATCAGTTGCACAGAAATTTTTGTATGAATCAGAGTGATTGTTTACAAAGTAGGATTTATCCCTCTCTAAGACAAGATAATTGTATCTACGTTGGTCATTTTTTTTATGAAACAAAGCAATACCAACTCTTTCAATTTGTCTTTTAGTTTGGAATGGGGAATACTTGTGTAAAGTGTAGAAAAGTCAAATGTTTTAATACTATTGCAAGACGAAATAGTCTTAGATTGTATGTACTTTAAAAGATCCTTGGCATATTTTAATATCTTCATCTGATTCATGCCACCTCTAGAATAGGCAGTTTCACAATAACTTTGTCGCCCAGCTTTGATTGCTGATAAAATTGATGTTATTAATATTTTAGAAAGAGGTTTCGTGGAGCACTTGAAAGACCAAGCAATATACCGTTGTTTGAAAGGACACTTATGTAGTTTAGGTACATGTATCTAATATAGTGATGAGAGATCCAGTTCTTCATGTTTGGTTGAAATTCCAAAGGAACATAGAACAGACCTATGATTATCCAGGATTTCCTCTTTAGTAAGTGTCGTGGAGGTATATGTTGAGTTTCCAATTGAATTGTCAATACCTTATTCATTTATCAGGCAGTTTATGTAATGTGATTTACACACAAAACCGATGTTGTTTGGGACTTTATCTGTGGGAACAACAACATATTTGTCATGGAGGTAGGACAAATGTTTTGCAACATTTGGGTCTTTAAAGATTAACGTAGCATGGGTATTAATAGACCCATTCAGTTTCTTAATTCTGATTAGTATCAACGACCTCACAGCCTTAATCCATTCGGAAAGAGTATCTGCGTCTTCTTTCTAACGTTTAACCTATTGCCTGGCATAATCCCCGACTGAATCCATCAGTATTTCGAACCTATAAAGTTGCCCAAAATACATCTGCAAAAAGTTTTCTTTTTAGCTGTTTTACGTGAAAAAAAAATTGTAGTCAATATTAGGTTGAAGAAACACAATTAAAAAATGCGAAAATGTATGAAGGCAATAATACACGCTGGATTCATGGTTTGAGGGGAATTTCGAGAGCTAATTCAAACTTCAATTATGTAGTTGAGTTGCCAGCCTGTTAAACACTCTTTTGTCATTTCTTGTTATTTCATGATTATCATTAAAAGAAATAAAGGACTTTATATATAAATATTAAGCTAGCACATTAAATACATAAATAGATAATAACATAGTTACAAAGTCAATTAATGAAAAGTTTAACTTCAAACATTTCTCTTAAACAAATCAGAAAAATTGTTTTCTTGGTTGCTTCAACTGCATCGTGCATTGATGAAAAAGTTAAAACTATTATATTCTAGACACTGAAAACTTTCTTTGTGTCTTTCCGTAGTAGGAAACCCTATCAAACTACGCAATGTTCTAGTAAAAATTGATAAGTTGCAGTTACATGCAGTTGCATGTTGTATTTGGCAAAACCTTTTGGAAATTCGGGTCCCTAATGCTCTTTATTTAGCTCTTTTAACGTTTTGTTTCGAGCGTCCCTAATGTGTCTTTTGTAATCAAAACGCGCATCTGGCGTAGCCTGGGTGATAAGAGTTTATTTACAACTACTGGGTCGATGACACTGGTGGTGGGGGTTTCCTATCCGATCTGTGTTGACATGAATTATCACTGATATGGTCATAGTTATAAGTAGTAGGAAATGGGGTCAGTCCGCCACAGTTCCGCCACAGGAAGCCACGTCACAGCTAATCCTCTTAACTATGACGTAGTATCCGGTCTATAATCTCTTAATCCTCTTAACTGCGTCTTAACATCCGGGTTATAATCCTCTTAACTGAAGTGGATTAATCTCTTAATCCTCTTAACTGCTACTTAACAGCCTGGTTATAATCCTCTTAACTGAAGTGGATTAATCTCTTAATCTTCTTAACTTGTACTTAACATCCTGGTTATAATCCTCTTAACTGAAGTAGATTAATCTTGTAATCCTCTTAACTTGTACTTAACATCCTGGTTATAATCCTCTTAACTGAAGTAGATTAATCTTGTAATCCTCTTAACTGCTACTTAACATCCTGGTTAAAATCCGGTGGTGGAAAATTAACGGAAGTGTTTTTAATCCCCATACCCTCCTACGTATGATCTTGTAAACGTGGTATACACGTTGACCTATCCACGATTACATCCTGAAGTATAATCTGAATGCAATCATTTTATAAACTAAGAAAAACGTTTACTATATATCATACATCAACAGTATTTCCATAAGAACAAACAATATGAATCTCCAAAATTTTAATATGTATACACTTTTAAGAGAAAGAGAATTGACAGGAAAGATCAGACGATCGCGAAGAGGTCCAAAAAAGACTGCAAATTTGATAAGGAACAGGGTTGATAAACTTCATCATGAAGAACTATCTCGGTGTCCAGTAGAAACATGGCTTCTAAAAAACGGTTACATTGTTTGTATTCTATACAACTTTGAACACCACCCAGAGTTTATTGAAGATCTTTATTTTTGTGGTTGTTACTTTGATGCAGTGTTAGCAGACTACAAGTTTATGGATCCTGTCAACTATCAATAAAAAAAAATCCATGTATATCATTTACATGCGTACAACGGTCCTTTTTAGGACCAACAAATCATTCAAAAAGAGTATTTTATTGTTGTACATGATCAGTTCGATTTTCTTCTCCAACGATTATGAAATATTTAAACGTTTGTGTGAGAGTAAAGCCTAATCCCGACATTAACCCCAACTCCGAAACTACAAAAGATAAAGACTTGCGGTTTTCATCATAGGCTTAATTCTCGCAAAGTACTGCCCCTAACGGGGTCGATTTATTAATTTCAAGCCAATCGAAGCATAGGATCATGTTGAGACTTTGAAAAGATCGACTTTGAAAAGTACCAAAAACCACAACCTGACCCCCCACCCCTCCAAAACTGTGATTTTTGAGAAGTTCGTGAAAAAACTTAATACGAAAATCTAATCGGTTAATCCCCTAGACTTACCCGTTCCAAGATAAAGTAAGGCCTTCAAAACAACGATTTTAACACATTTGGGGTTTTGGTTTGGGTTAGTGTTTGGGTTAGGGTTAGGGTCAGGGTTTGGGTCAGGGTTAGGGTCAGGGTTAGGGTCAGGGTTTGGGTCAGGGTTAGGGTCAGGGTTTGGGTCAGGGTTAGGGTCAGGGTTTGGGTCAGGGTTAGGGTCAGGGTCAGGGTTTAAGTTAGGGTTAGGGTCAGGGTTTGCGTATGGTAGTGGACTTTGACGAGGGTTAGTGAGGTGCCCTTTTTCACTTCTGCGCATGTCTGCCCTTTTTTGTGACTGCGCATGCGTCAGAAATTTCCAAAAATATTTCTAAGTACAGAGTATGAAAAGTGCCTTTGACTTCAATCTTCAAATAGGTGTAGAATGGATTT